GCTACAAATCCAACACCCTTTTCCAAAGAGTATTTGTCCTTTTATTACAGCACCTCCCAATACCCCGGTTCTAGCCAGTGGTCCTCATCAGAGGACCAGAGTAGCCGCTAAAACCTCAGCAGATGGTTTGCACCTGGCAGGCAGAGGATGGGGCATCTATACTGGGAGCAGCTATGGTAGGAAAAGGGATTCCTGGCCAGGCTGGAAGAGCTGCAACCCATAAAACCCTGCACCTGGACCGCAAACCACTTGCAAAATTGAGCTGGCAGAGCTCAAACAAGGAGCTTCAATTTTACAAGCTGAATATCTCTAGAACTTCACCCTATGCAACTTTTATGAGCAGATCAGCCCTTTGTGTCCCCCCGCAACATGAGCTGGGGGCAGGATTATTCCTAGGAACAGGTGATGATACATGGTCCTCAGCTGGAAGTACATGCCCATTTCTGGGGACCATACTTCAGGAAAGATGAAGGTCAATCAGAGAGTCTAAAGGAGAGCAACAAGTATGATTGGGGGTCTAGAAAAGAGCCTTTGAAGGAAGGCTAAGAGAACTGGGTTTCTTTAGTTTAGAGAAGAGACAAGGTAACAACCTTTAAAGAGGAAGGTTACAAACTGTTCTCCCTATCTGCTGGGAACAGGACAAGAAGGAATGGGCTTTAATTACAGCTAGGGGATTTAGATCGATCATCAGGAAAAAGGTTGAGTTGTAAGGAGAGTCAAGCACTGGCATAGATATTTAGGGAGGCTGTGGGATTTTCAGCACAACGTAAGTGAGGAACGGGGTCAGTAGATTTGACGTAGCCTTGGTGCAAGTGGTTGGAATAAATATCTTCTTGACCTCCCTTAATGCCCTATTTTCTATATCTGTCCCAACCAGGAAGGACCTGACCACAAAAAGAAATGGAGAAACAGATGCCGCCAAGCTAGATCTGAACATCGATGCATTGCATTTAATAGGAGGAGAAACACTGACACCAACAGTCCCATGTCCTCGGACTGGTGAAGAAGGAAAGGTCTGAACAGTGCTCAGCTCATTTCATGGGAGAACGCAGCTGGTTCCCTATCCCCTGAGGCTCTTTGCAAAGGAGCCCCAGGGAAGAAGCTCCAGACCAGGACACAGGCTGGTACCTCAGGGCATCCTGCGGGAAGAGAGTGCAATCTGAGCTGATGCCTGGAGGGGAGAGGGAGCAGGATGTGAAGGTGCACCAGGATGGAGATCTGGAGGCAGAAGGAAACCTGAGCTAAACTGATCCCTGCAGGGAGAGTCCAGCAGGAGCTGAAGAAACATTAAGGGGGCCACATGACAAGGAGAGACAGAAATGCTATGGAAATGAATCCCTGCAGGGATCTAGGAACTTGATCTTCTGGGAGATTTGCATCCAAAATATTATTAACGATGCACTGCTTAGACAGGGACTGGCACCTTCAGGGAGGCTAAGACGGTGGATCATATGAAGAGAGTCCATTCTGCAACTGTGCTACTCTTATACCTGATAGCACCCGGTACTAACCATCTGCAGCCATCTGTTGGTTTCAGCCACAGTCCTGGGTACATCGGCATCTCTGCAAGATCAAGCCAGCCTTTTTTCCATGCCCCCCCCTTAAAATGAGGATAATTGTTCCTTACCTCTTACTGGTATGGTAGGGTTAAATTAGCTAGCAAAGTGCCTTGCGGCTCTTAGGTGGTAGGTGCTGCACAAGGACAACGTATTCTTCATTGCATTTAATGATCACCAGGGAGTTCCAGGCCCTCAAACAGAATTGGCACCTCCTGACATGGCAGTAACAAGGAAGAACAAATGCTCCAGAAAATCAGCCCAAGGCCTTTCCTAATAGCTGTGCCCATGGCAGAACTCATGCCCTGCCTGCGAAAGCAACCAGCGGAAATCTCACTGAACACCTCTGAAAACAAAGTTCCTATGGTAGCTGAACTGTGTGCTCAAACCACTCTGCATTCAGCCATGAATGAACCTTGCCAATGAAGCTGCTATTTAAAAGCTTGGGACTTTATTGGGCAGAAAGTGGGATGGGGTTTTATGTGGGTGTTAGGTGACAATGGCTCTCTTCGTGACCTGGGCCCAGGAGGCATTTTACCCTGGAGGAGGCTTTGCTTTCTGTGCTATGTGTGGGAATCTCAAAAGCACTCAGCCTGTCATTGCTTGCACTGGAAGTCACTAGCATTTTATCTTTAACAAGAGTCAGAGCAAGGCTATGTCCCCTCCCATCATATCTCTTTAGCTTTCAGGGCCTTTAGTTCCCCAAACTGCCAACTCCATAGAAATAATGCAAGGGAGGCTTTCATGACCTGTGATCTTCAAATCATAATTTGGATGGTGCACGCTTAGAGTTCAAATGGCTGTGCAGCCCAAATGTGACTCCTTCCCTCTGTCCCAAACTCCTACTGATCTCTCTGGAGTTTGGTACTGGATTCATAGTATTGAGAAAAGCATATTCCTCACCACTCAGTCTGTAGCATGGGTCTTTATACCTCTGTATGTGACCAAAACTGTGCCCAATCTGTGCTACCTGCAGCATCTACATGTGCCTCATAATAAATGAGCTTGAACAAGTGGTTAGAATGAATCAATTAAAATATTTAACAACAACTCCCATGGCATTGTTTAACAATATTTAATAATAATTCTGCGCTGGTTCATAACCATCACAGAATCCACTTTAGGACAATTTGAGCGGTGATCTGGATACACCTCCCAAATACTTCAAGCTGAAAGCCATAATGTGGTTCCCCGGAGAGAGGATTTGAAATATGATCTCAGATTTGATCTATAGCCCCTATAATAAGTGGCCCATTGTCTCTACATAAATGGATGCATGATACCATAATGATACAAATAGTGATAGCCTGATGAGCTATTTGATTTGCAACCAAAAGGAAAAAAACTACCTGGTGGGTGAGCCTTTTCCTTCCCTTGTCCTACATTTGAAACATGGCCCCGTTCCATAAAACTTTGCCGCATTTTCACAAGTTTTGATTTTGTTCAAAGCAAACCCTTTCCTGAGGAAGTGGAGCCATCTGGTTTGAAAAATAACTTTAAAATATGTTTATCTGCACATATTTTCACTGGGGGAAAAATGGGTATTTATTTATATCTTGTGGAACAGCACAAAACCACCATGAAACAAAATGGTGAATAGTTCGGTGAAAGATTTAACATCCAAAAAAACCCCAACCCTCTGAAAGCTATGAACAGTCCTGGTGGCAGCAACCAACCGAGGAAGCACATGATGGAAGAGTTGCAACGCTGCAAGAAATGCTCCCCAGCTGATCACTGAGCCCCAGGGTTGGACACTTTTACCTGACAAATCCTGAGCCCAGTATATTGAAGGGCAATAGGGTCGGGGGGCAATAGGGCTGCGGGGGGGGGGGCGGGGATAGGGCCCTATGTGGGAATAAGGGTGCAGTCACTCCAACACGCAGAGTTGGAGCCAAATCCTCAGCTGGCGTAAATCAGTATTGCTGCACTTGGGACAATGGTGCATCCTTGATTTGCCCCAGTCTAGGAGCTGACCCTAGCAGTTTGGCAGTATTGCCACGGGGAAGGTGCACAACAGATAACGACAAGATGCCTTCACTGCCTATTTTATCTTGAGGGAATTTCCTTTTATCACCCATTATGAGAGGGTTGGATAACACTTTTGGCTTGCAGAAACTTCCTGCCGTGGGCTCTGGAAGCCATAGAGCTGGAGACACACGGCCCTTTGTTTTAAGCTATGTTTTCCAGGAATCTGGGAGACAAATCAAGCATGTTAAGGCACCGTTGATGGGAAGGCATGATCCACCCAGGCCTGGAGGAGCTAAGCCAAACAGAGATGAGTCCATCACACCCATCAGGTGGGAACCACCATGGCAAACCCCGAGGAGCAGAGATTTTACCAGGAAAGAAAGGCCACAACTGCCCACACGTCACCAGTGTGATGAGTTTACAAGCGATCGTGGCCCTAGATGCTAAAGAACGTGAAGCTCACTGTGGCTTGAATGCTACATCTTCTTCAGACCCTAATGACAGCCCTGGAGGTTAGAGCCTCTGCTGCCGTTCCGATTCCCAACTTTATATTGGAGAGCCAGAGCCAACCTGCTAATCCTCCACCTTGCACATCTGCCTCTAGACCTCCTCCTTCCAGCTACCTAGGTGTGATCCAGAGCTCTCTGATATCAATAGGAGTCTCTGCATTGGCTTCTGTGCACTTGGACTTTGTCCTGAACCACTTCCTCAAGTCGCTGCGAAGACCTGGGCTCTCCTCCATAAGGAGTGCGGAGTCCACCTGCCTCCCTTGAGTATTCAGACTTGGGACTCGGGCTCCTGGGGGATTCTTCAGTGCCATCTCTAAAATTTCCATGTGATCAGTGATACAGAGGAGGCTCTTATAGCCAGAAAAGTAACATCACTTCAGAGCTGGATGCCAGAGTCCAGATACAGCTGGAAGGAAGACAGCTGTAACAGCTGGCTCTGGCCCAGATGTTTTCTAGCTCCAAGGGAATCTACCATCCTGACTTCCTAGAACATTTGCCTTTATCTCATGTCCGGTTCCTTTGTATGTTGGATAGGAGAAAAATGCACAAATACCTGCTCCGCTGAAGCTCTTCAACCAGGCAGGTATGATCTTGACCCAAACACTCCTACAGCTTGACCTTCCCCTTAGCTTGCACCTCACTTACTCACATGCAAATCAACCCATAATGCTCAGGCTTGCATGCTCCAAGGCTTCATGTGATAGTGCTACACACACTAAAATGTCTCTGGAGCCTTGGAGGGGGGTTTCCATTCTCCCTTTCTTCCCCCGATACCCAGAGCAATAATCCCCCTGTGCTCAGGGGATTTTAGAGAATCACCTTTGGAACAGAAAGGTCTTGAAGCCCTTCTGCAGAGATGCAGCCTCTGCCATGGGGATTCATTAAGGGTAAATCTTTGGGACACCAAAGTCAGGAAATCAAATGGTCTGAGGTTGAGGAATATTTGATAATCGGGGGTGGGTCTTACCTGTCTGTTAAAGTCCAGCCCATTGTGCTCAGTTCCTGCAATGAGAAAACAAGAAAAGGTCTCAGTGTTTCTATTATCAGCATTGTTCTAGTGCCTAAAGGTCCTGGTGGGGCCTTGTTGTACTGGACCCTATAGAAGAGCTGAGATTATATGCTCCCTACCCAGCAAGCTTACAGTTCAATGCAGCATGAGGTACCACCACTGAACATGTCAGACAGGAGCATGAAGTAGGGTGGGAAGATAGGAGCAAGGAGACTAGTGCACGTGTGGGTGCAACACCAGCTGTTGCACAACTTGCTGGTTTCCAAAGGGACCAGCTCTTGATTGAAATAAATAAAATACAGTCTTCTGGAGTGATGTGTAGGCGATGTATTTGGGCTGGACTACCTGTGAGCAATTCAGTGGGGGTAGGTCCTAGAAAGAGAAGAGGATAGTGGCTTTTAGGGGAAAGCAAAAAGATGTTGCATCTGCTGTGGGAGGTGCTAACAAACAGATGGAAGGGATCCTTGGACGAGCTTGTGCAATCTTGGGGCATCAGAGCGAATGGAGGGTGCCAGGGGACTGTGCTAAAAATGTTAGATTAACCCCTTGATTTAAGGGAGATAAGCAGGTTGCAGTCTAAGATACAGCACCACCCCTCATTCATCCCCTTGGGAAGAAAAATATCCACTCCTGCCCCCACAAAGTCATCAAAAACAGCACAGAAAAACCAGGTACACCGTACTAAAAACTGCTACTGGGTTCAGGCCCGCACACTCAGTCACACAGCCCCCACGAGACATTCACCTCGTCCTATTCCGCAATTCTGTTCTTCTCCAAACCCAGCCCGGTCCCCCTCATGCTGTCTTTTTCTCTTCTTAGGGCTCTTGTACCTGTTATGATTTGACCATGTACATGTGACAAACAGTGACAAAAAAAATCACCATTTCTCTAGCATAATGGCATCACCATGTACACATGCATGGTATTTTTCTGTGTCAAATTTTGTTTGAGCGTGGCAATTTAGACCACCTCTGATGTATTTTAGTTTGATCGTGGCACATTGTTCTAGGAAGCTTAGTTTTATCGGGACAATTCTGTCACGTGCACATGTCGTATACAGGTAAATTCGCCATTACATGTTCTGACGGTCCTTGGTCACCAGGTGCCACTTTAATTTGGGGATTTAAAAGTAGGTCTGTTGGCAAAGCCATGGATACGGGGGCAGGAATATGGCCCAGTGGTGAGCAAGCACGGAGTCAGGACTCCTGGCTTCTAGTGCTAAGTCTCTCCATGACGTGCTGCATGACACGCTTGTTGCTGCCCTGCCTGCATTGCCTCCCGCTGTAAAATAAAGGTGTTGTTCCCCAGGGCTGCGGGGGAGAGGAACTTCCTTCAGTTCCTCCTCCTGTTTTACCTTCCACATTTAATGCAAAGCGCTGGACACAAACCCTTTACTTATGTCTTACTTACGGCTCTGCTCTCGTCTCATCCTATACCTCTGGCCCCCCACTCTGCATCTGTTCTCCAACGTGCTCCCTTTGCCCTTTTCCATTCTCTATTCTCCACCATCTTCCATCCAATCTCCTACAAATGGAGCAACCTGCCATACCCCAAATGCACCCTGCTCTTCTTTCAAAGTCCTGTACCAATCTCCTCCTTGAAAATATACCCCGATCTTTCCTTGCTTGAGCAGTTGGACAACCCATTTCTTTCCGTCTCTGAGCTCCATAGATCAGCAAATGCACTTAAAAACCACCAGAACATTGATGGCATTACTAGACATCAGGTTTTGTGCCAGACCTGAACAGAACCATGGAAAGGAGCTCCAAATCACGCACCGGAAACCCTCTTGTTTCTACCCTGAAGCCCGTGTGGGAGGGGGAGGGAAGACCCTTGGTGGAAACTGGAGGCTGCAGAGGAGGAGAAAAACGTAAGGAAATAAAAGCAGAAGCTGTGAGTGTCTCAAAGGAATGGAAGGAAAATAGGACCCCTGGTCTCTCACCATGCAGTCAGTTAGAGCCCTGCAGCAATGGCATGACATTCAAGTCTGCATGGAGATCTCTAGGTTCTTTGGAGGATGGGTCTGGACTCCAAATTTCCACTCTGACCCCAGCCACTCACAATTCAAACCTAGATCTACATTTTCACTCCTTGGCTGTCATGGTGAGATGAGATCAGAACCACCCCAGACTTTAAAGAGCTCAAAGCATGGGTTCATCTGCAATGGTGTGCCAGCCCTGCAGCCCCAGAAACCGGCACAAGAAGCAAGGGGGAGGTCTCACTTTTATATAGAAACTCATAGGGGTTAGGGTCTCAGCCTCGAGCTTCCTCTTCCTTTTTTCCTTGCTCCTCCCCTCCCCCCGCCGTCCATCTTTGGGGTTTCTGGGAATTGCAGTCCAAATTAACAGAAATCACAGCTTTGCAGACTGGCCCCCAGCTTTAACTGTTATTACACGTATTACATTCCCATGACAATGGATTGCTTCTTGCATTCTCATCTTCCCACCTTCCCTCCACACACAGGCCGTGGCATCTAGCTGGATTTTATCCTTCAAGGACAGCTACTCCTTCAGGTCTGGGACTCCATCACTTCACTGTCCCACACTTTAATCAGGAGGAGAGTTTGCATTTCACAAAACATTTGACCCGTAATTTTCCAAAGGAACGAGACGCTTGTTGAGACCAGGAGCAAGAACCATGTGCTTAAATCTCTTTTGAGTAAAGCAGCCCTCAAGCAGACCTGCGTCAAGACAAGTACCTAATTTCAATCCATGTGTTTGGTCATTTGCACCCTGGGACCAGGACTGCTTTTTATGGCCTGCACTGATGGAAAGTTTTGGGTGAGGCAGAAAACTATCCTGTTTCTACTGAAGTCAACTACTTCCAGAGGAACATCCAACACAAACCCACATCTTTATCTGTGCTGGCACTCCTCATCAGATTATTTATTTCTCTCACTGGAGGAACAGGCTTTGCAAACAACAAGGATCCGCATTTGAGAGTTGGCCTGCTGAGAGACAGATGATAAAAGGGCAAGAAATATAAACAAGGTGAGATCCTTGGGTAACCCATCACAGCTCTGCTAATACCAGGGCGGCTGCCTCTTGGAGCCCTGCCTGATATAAAGGGAACCTGAACATCCAGATTCTGGAGCTCTGCTCTAAATGGAGAGCTCATTATTTCCAATGATGCCTATAGCTGCCTGCATGACTCCTCCTCACCATAGTCAATAGCAATGCACATCAAGATGGGAAAGTCCTGGTATTTAAACAGTGATTTGAGGCCAGAGCACTTTTCTCCCCAGCCTTGGGCTGCTCCCCTCTTTAATGCTGCTTGGGTTGGAAGGAACCAGGCAGTGACAAGCGTGGCTGGCTCCCAGCAATACATTGGATGAAGGCTCTGAGCCTCCTCTTGAGTCACTTGTCAGCTGCTTTGCATAACATTGGCACAGGCTCTGGTGCGAGTTTGCCTGGGGAGGTTTCTCTGGGGATGGGAACAGCAGAACAGTTCCGGCCGGATTTTTTTTTGGCCTGGAATATTTTGTTTACTACCAAAAAGCCAAAAAAGAACGAGATGGCTTTTACGCAGCCAGCCCCACTCCTACAGGGTCCAGCGCATCTCCTTCCTGGGAGCACTCCACCACAAGCAGTGCAATGGGGGAAGGAAGGAAACCAAGTGGGCCGAGTGGTTCTCTCTGCCAGGAAATCACCAGCTATAACTATCTCAGCACCTTGCAACTCATTCCAAGAACATGCACCGGTCGTCCACACAGGGGCTTGCCTTGCCAGGCAAGCCACCTTATTAGCAACAACCTGCTGACAAGGCTGGAGGTGCCCCCAGGGAAGCAATAACCCCAAACCCCTTAATTCAGCCTACCACTGACAGCGAGCTGGGACAAAGAAGCGACAGGGATTTGGACCGCTCTCGGGAGCTATCTGAAGCTGAAGGCGAGTTGAATAAAAGGGGGTTGGGGAATTTTCCCAGGATGGAGACTTGCTACGTGGGGCATTTGAAAATTTAATTTTGTGTTGGTGAACAATGGAAGAGGAACAATGTCAAATGAGGAAGAATACCAGACAGACATTCAGGTGTGCCAGCTGCAATTATTTATCCAGTAAAATATCCTTAATACAACACGCAGCAAGCAGTAGGTAGAGGGTTTCTATACATACACGTATAATTTGGAAAAAAAAAGGTGGGAAATTGGCTCTCTCACACGAATCAACTGTCTATTGACATGAATGCTCTTCCTACCAATTCTATCATGTCAAATATATGAGGTTCGATGCTCACACAGAAGCCAGGAATGAAGAAGAAACCCAACAACATTCATTATAGTTACACGTGGCATGCGACTGAGGTGTTATAAATGAGCAAACTCTCCAGGCTGCTTTAAAAGGGGCATTTTTACATGAAACGTGATATGAAAAGTCCATTTTAAACAATAAAAGGATCTTAGTTATTGTTACAAATAACTTGGACCTCAAGTAACGCAGTGTTTTGCTTATGCATTTCACTCGGGGTGGACAGGCCAGAGATTTGGGGAAGAATACGACCGTCTATGATGCACAGCGCAGACTAGAGAGAGGGAGCACAGCTACTGATGGAAGTGAGAGGAGGCCCTAACCAGGGTTTCCAGAGACAGCAAGATGAACTTAGTATGTGATCAGGTCACAAGGAGCTAGCACTCAAAGGGGCACCAGCAGTGGTCTCTTTGTTCCCCTCTATTGCTTTTGGGACCATGGGTGCCCTAAAGCTGGATGGCACAGGGCAGCAGAAAGCAGCAGCAAGGTCAGCAAAGCAATGCCTCCACCAGCCTTAGCATTAAGGAGAGGACCACGCCAGGGGAGCAAAGCAAAAAGGGAGGATGTGGGGGTGAGGGGAAAGCAGCAGCCACAGGATTAGGGATGCTTTGAGCCTGAGCTTAAAGCCCAGGTGTGTTCATTCAATAGCCTTGGATGGCTGGACCCAGATTCTTAAGGAAGCTGGGCCAGACCCTCAAAGTTCATTATAACAGTAACATCATGGAGTAAACCAGACTCAGCAGTTGAGC